ATCCGCTGACACGTCCACTCCCAAATATCTGAATACGTTCATCCTCCTCCATTACTCTCTCCCTCCAATCTGATATTCAATCTTTCATCACCTAATCTTTTTGTTATCCTCATAACCTTACTCTTTCCTGTATTCACCTTTAATTTTCTTCTTTTGCACACCCTACCAAATTCATCCACCAATCTCTGCAACTTCTCTTCAGAATCTCCCAAGAGCACAGTGTCATCAGCAAAGAGCAGCTGTGACAACTCCCACTTTGTGTGTGATTCTTTATCTTTAACTCCACGCCTCTTGCCAGACCCTCGCATATTACTTCTCTTACAACCCCATCTATAAATATATTAAACAACCACGGTGACATCACACATCCTTGTCTAAGGCCTACTTTTACTGGGAAAAAATTTCCCTCTTTCCTACATACTCTAACTTGAGCCTCACTATCCTCGTAAAAACTCTTCACTGCTTTCAGTAACCTACCTCCTACAACCATACACTTGCAACATCTGCCACATTGCCCCCCTATCCCACCCTGTCATACGCCTTTTCCAAATCCATAAATGCCACAAAGACCTCTTTAGCCTTATCTAAATACTGTTCACTTATATGTTTCACTGTAAACACCTGGTCCACACACCCCCTACCTTTCCTAAAGCCTCCTGTTCATCTGCTATCCTATTCTCCGTCTTACTCTTAATTCTTTCAATTATAACTCTACCATACACTTTACCAGGTACACTCAACAGACTTATCCCCTATAATTTTTGCACTCTCTTTTATTCCCCTTTGCCTTTATACAAAGGAACTATGCATGCTCTCTGCCAATCCCTAGGTACCTTAACCCTCTTCCATACATTTATTAAACAATTGCACCAACCACTCCAAAACTATATCCCCACCTGCTTTAACATTTCTATCTTTTATCCCATCAATCCCGGCTGCCTTAAACCCCCTTTCATTTTTACCTACTGCCTCACGAACTTCCCCCACACTCACAACTGGCTCTTCCTCACTCCTACAAGATGTTATTCCTCCTTGCCCTATACACGAAATCACAGCTTCCCTATCTTCATCAACTTTTAACAATTCCTCAAAATTTTCCTTCCATCTTCCCCTTTTAACCTCCTTTTAAATAACTCTCCCTTCCTATTTTTAACTGACAAATCCATTTTTCTTGGGCTTTCTTAACTTTTTAATTCCACTCCAAAACTTTTTTTATTTTAAACAAAATTTGTTGAAAATCTCACCCACCTTCTTTGCCCCTTTTTTAATTGCTTCCCCACTCTCTTAACCTCTCTCTTTTTCTCCATATACTCTTCCCCCTTGCCACTTCTACTTTGAAAAAACTTCTCCAAATGCAACTTTTTCTCCCTTACTACTCTCTTTACATCATCACCACCAACGCCTTTCCCCCTGCACCACTTCCTGTAACCACAAATTTTCTGCTGAAGACTCAAAACATACTTTTTTTAAAAACCTACCCCATCCCTTTTTCGACCCCATTGCCTTGCCTCATTAGCCCATCTTTCCCCAAAATAGCGTTTTATCTTACCCAAACTCCCTCCTCTTTTATTTTATAAACCTTCACCCCCTTCCCTGTGCTTTTTCTTTCTCCTTTTATCCCATCAAAACCTTTACTTCAGGTAGCTCAACTGAAAGTGATTGTATACTGTGCCCCCTTTAAAAAAATGTAATCCAAAATCTACCAAAATCTTTTATCTACCAATACATAATCCAACAAACTACTGTCTTTCGCCCAATCATAAGTGTATATTTTTTTTCCCTTTTTTTTTTAAAAAAATTATTACCTATAACTAACCCCTTTCTATACAAAAGGGTTTAATCAAAGGGGTCCCATTATCATTTACACCTGGCACCCCCAAAATTACCTACCACACCCCCCTAAAAGTTTTCCTACTTTTTCATTCAGGTCCCCCCACCACAATTACTCTCTCATTGGTTCAAAGCCCCATACATTCACTTAACATCTCCCAAAATCTCTCTCCTCCTCTGCATTCCTCTCTTCTCCGGTGCATACACGCTATTATACCCACTTCCGCACCAACCTTTACTTTAATCCAATATTCTTTAATTTACACTTCATATTTCCTTTTCCCCCTTCCAAAAAGTCTTTAAAATTTTCTGCTACCCCCTTTCCCTTTTCCCAACTCCTCGATACCCAGTTTAATCCCTTTATTTCCCCCCCTGAAACCTCCTACCCCCTTCACTTTGTTTCGCTTAGGGCAGGGCATACTTTCTTTTTTATTCATAACCAGCAATCATCGTTTCTTGTCTCCGCACTACATCCACGCAATTTAAGCAACCCAGTTTTTTAAAGTTTTTCTTCCTCTTTTTTATAATTGTTATACGGGGAAAGGGTTACTAGCCCCTTTCTCCCCGGCTTTTATCGCCCAAGACACGCATGGGTTTGGAGGAAAGATTCTTTTTATTCCCCAGGGCCCAATAAAAAAAATAAAAAAAACCCAAAGTTAATTTGGGGGGAGAAAAACCTAATTATTTTTATTTTTTGGGTGTCCTTTTCCCTGTAAGGGTTGAAAAAGTTTTTTAATTAGGGAGAATTCCCCTTTTATTTCCCCTTTAGGAGACCAGAAAAAAAAAAAGGGGCAACCCCCTGAAAAAAATTGGTTTTTTTTTCACAGTTCGGGCATTGGAAAAGTAACAAACTTTGGGGGTTTTTGGTTGTGTTAATTTATATTAATTTAATAATTTTGTATATATTTTTTTGTCTATGTTAGTTTTTGTGCCCTTCTTGTTAAAAAACTATTGACTACCCCTTTAATGTAAAAGGGCAAAAAGTTTGGCCCTGGGTTTGGTTTTATGGATAATTTAAATATCCCAACCCAAAGGCTTTGTTGTTTACCCCAAAAGGAAACCCCGGACTTTTTAATTTAAACGAAAAGCAGTCAAAATCTAACACCCCCCCCAAAATGAATTTGTTTGTACCAACAAAAATTTTTAAAAATTAAGGAGGGGGGGGGAGAGGAAAGACTATAGAAGGCTATGTATTCCCCCGGGCGGGTTTGGGTTTAAATTTGGTGGGGGGGAGAGGGAGGAAGAATGATCCCTATAAACTGAATTTTTAATTTTTTTTTTCTCATTTTTAACTAATTGAAATTATTTTAGATAAAAGGCCAATTGTGTCTATTTTTTTTTTTTTTGTGGGGGGGGTGGGGGGGGGGGGGGGGGGGGGGGGGGGGGGGGGGGGGGGGAAAGTTTGAAAAATAAATGTTAATTTTTTCCCCAGTTTTATATTATAATAAGAGGTTGACTATCACTAATCGGCCCAACGGGCCCTGTGGGGTGCGGATTAGTGTTTTGCTAGATTACGTGTGGTTGGGTTAAAATATTAAACCCCAATCAATTTTTATGCATTGGCGATTTCACCCACTTTACCCCTTATTTTTGGCCATTCTATTGTTTCATTCTACCAAACCATAGCTATTTGGCTAGTATTCCTTCTTTCAATTGAATAAAGAAACCGTCCATTTACTTATTTCAACTACCCAAAAAATGGTCGGGGAATCAGAAATTTTGGCCCAAATTAAACAAAAATTTCAAAGATCCCCAATTTCAGAATAAACAATGCAACTTTCCCCCTTTGGGCCTAAAATAACATTTTTCTCTGTTTTTAAATCACATCCCCAGGCCCCCTTTTAAAATTTATGTTTTGCTTTCCATTTTAAATTTGATTTTACAAAACAAGTTTAATGTTTTGCAGACTATGCATTAGTTTAATTGTATAAATAATGTAACTATTCATGACCACATTAGCCCCGGCCAGTTGGACACTATTGGATGGTGAGTCATTGTTTACTTGAACTCTGAAAAAATCAAACATTTCTGCTACTTTGGGTTCAATTTCAAGGTATATTCCATCATGAAACCAATCAAAATCATATCTATTTCTGTAAGATATCTTCCATTCTATCAAATGAGACCAAAAAACAAGAATACAACCATAAAAACCATATGAAAATACTACACTGCAAAGTCGCTGTTTTACACCAAAAACACGGTCGCATTTTTTTCTCATTATGTACTGCATTCTGCAGGATGTCTTTTATATACTGTGGTGCACACCACACAGACCTATTCTCTCATATGTAGGCCCAAATTTACCAATCACAGCTTATCTGAGTGAGCTGAGTTCATGACAACCAACAGTGGCTTCAAAGCCACCTTATCTTTTATGGACAATGTATAGTGTGTGTGCTTTACACACGATAAGCATCTCTTTTATTCATTGGAACCATGGCTAGGGCTAAAAGTGAGCAGGTTTTAACAATAAATGGAGAAAAAGAAATTGGAATGACTTTTGCAGCAAGTAGTGCCAACAAACAGTAGTGGCAGGTTAGTGTGGTGACCCCGGAAATTTGAAATTATGCTAGCTGAAATTAGTGCTGGATTACTGATGGAACCGGATTACTGATTGCTGGATTAGTGATGGCTGACCTGTATAAAGATTATAATTGAATTTGGTATTAATATTTTTCTTGATTTTTTACTCAGTTAATTTTTTTTAGTATATGACTATCTGGTGCATGTGTTCTAGGCTCATATGATTTGGATAAACATTAGTAATTCAAAATTTGCAAAGACTACAAACAAATCCTTATGTTTTATATGTTATACTGGGTTCACTTTATGTGCCATGATATAAGAAAGCATCTATCACTTTAAGTGAGGAAAACCTGTATATTAAGAAGGAACTTTCTCTCGGTTACCACTATAAATATATATATATATAAATATTTAACCCTTTCCTAGGTAGTAGGTTGGTAAACAGCAACCGCCCAGGGAGGTACTACCATCCTGCCAAGTGAGTGTATAACAAAAGCCTGTAATTGTTTTACATATGGTAGGATTGCTGGTGTCTTTTGTCTGTCTTGTAAACATGCAAGATTTCAGGTATGTCTTGCTACTTCTACTTAAACTTAGGTCACACTACACATACATATGCAAGCAATATATATACAACACACCCCTCTGGGTTTTCTTCTATTTTCTTTCTAGTTCTTGTTCTTGTTTATTTCCTCTTACCTCCATGGGGAAGTGGAACAGAATTCTTCCTCTGTAAGCCATGCTTGTTGTGAGAGGCGACTAAAATGCCGGGAGCAAGGGGCTAGTAACCCTTTCTCCTGTATATATTACTAAATGTAAAAGGAGAAACTTTCATTTTTCCTTTTGGGCCATCCTGCCTCGGTGGGATACGGCTGGTGTGTTGAAAGAAAGGAAGATTTAACCCTCTGACTGTTCTGGTCGTATATATACGTCTTACGAGCCAGTGTTTCGGACGTATTAATGCGCGTAAATTCTAGCGGCTTCAAATCAAGCAGGAGAAAGCTGGTAGGCCTACATGTGAGAGAATGGGTCTGTGTGGTCAGTGTGCACCACATAAAAAAAATCCTGCAGCACGCAGTTTATAATGAGAAAAAACAAAACTGACCGTTTTTTGGGATTAAAACGCCAACTTTGAGGTATATTTTCGTATAGTATTAATCATTGTATTCTCGTTTTCATGGTCTCGTGTGATAAAATGGAAAACATATTACAGAAATAGAGATGATTTTGATGAGTTTCACGATGAAAACGACCATGAAATTGAGCTCAAACTAGTGGAAATGTTTGATTTTTACCAATGTTCAGGAGTAAGCAAATCACACCACACATCCAATACACGTCGACTGGGGAGTCTAATATTCTTTCACTAGTGCACTGATATTATTTATACCATTTTTACAATAATGCAGTAGTCTGCATAACAGTAAATTTTGTATTTTTTGTATGAATAAAAAATCAAAATAGAAAGCAATAGTAATATATGAGGGGCCTAGAGACGTGGCTAATGAACAGAGGATATGTTATTTTAGTGCCAAGAATGTCTACATTGTTTATTCTGCCAATTTTGAAATTGGCATCTTTTTTAATATGCGTGAAATTGGCCAAATTGCCAATTTCTGGCAACCTTATTGGGTAGTTCAAATAGGTAAATGGGCGGTTTCTTGTACTCAACTGATAGAAAAAAATGGAGCTCTAAAGAAATAGCTATGAGTTTGGTCAACTGGAACAATGGAATTGGCCAAAAACAGGGCTCAAAGTCGGCAAAATCAGCGATGCGTATGTCGCCGAGACCGCTAGCTTCGTGGGAGCGTAATTCCGTGAGTTTTTGACCAAATTTCGTACTTTTGGTGTCATTACCATTGGGAAAAGATTCTCTATCATTTCATAAGAAAAAATAATTTTTTTTCCCCAAAAATTTTGCAACATAGAATGACAGTTTCAGAAAGGGGCTTGCGACAGTCAAAGGGTTAATAAACATAAATTTAAACAAGTTAGTGTGTGAAAGAGGTGGCTAGAGTATTTTGATATTCAGGAGGTATAAATAAACATTTCAAAAGGAATAATGGTGTTTGATCTTAAAGTCTGGCAATTATAGAATTACTAACCTGGTAGATTAGCCAAATGTTGGCTAAGGCTTGTTTATTTTTAAGACTGCCAGAGAGAGAGTTCAAGCATCATCACTCCATTTGAATTGTTACATTCATTAATTATGAATGTTCAACATGTAAAATTTCTCAACTGGAGCAAAGGGAGTGATCTACAAAATCTGGCATGGATTATGAGAAAAGCAACCATGTATCTGTAAAGGAACTCTGGGGAAAACCAGCTAGAAATTTTTAAGTAGGGGAAATGGTGGCTGCACTCAAGGTGCAAACATTGCAGTTTAAGTTCAGCACTGCTCTACAACACCTTTGCCCTCCTAGGAAGGCAGCTAAGCTGTGATAGTTAGTATTTTTTAAGGTCACCCTTCCTATATGGAAAATGGCATGAGTAGAGGAAAAAAACTTGAAGGAATCTTGACTCAATCTACTAATATGAACATTTCTAAAAGTCTGTCCTTCAATTTGTTTGTTAAAGCTTTACCACATATGTATGTGAATGCCCAAATTAATAAGAGAATTCTACACTTGCACTGGTGGTAAGCTTTTTTTAACCACAATTTGGTTGATAAATGCCACAATTACATTCTGAATAGGAACTCTTTTTATACAATAAATATTAAATCACCATCCAAGAGCAATGAAGTAAAATCTGAGACAACAATGACATAGTTTTTATGAATACAAATTTATGATCATGGGCACTTTGTTATTATCAGTATAAACAAGATGCCATTGATACCTAGTTTCTAAAAACTATTCAGAATCTCTTATTTAGATTCTTTGAAATATTATCCTCAACAAAAGCATTTACAAAACTTAACATTTTCTAATATAATTATGGAAGAACTTATATGTTCATTGATAGAAAATGCTAAAACACTGCAGTTGAAAAAATATATTTCAATGGCAAGTACTGATATGAAGTTCAGTACTAAAATATACATTCTGATTAACATTAAGTGACTTAAAACACTTCCTTTTGACCTAAAGTACTAAAACCTCGAAATTCTATTATATATTTGAACACCCATATATAATGCAAAATTTCAATGAAAACACTGTCTTAAGCATCACAAATGCCAGGTGTTAGAATGAGGACTATACTGTATCTAGAAAATTTGTAGTATTCATAAAAAATATGTTTTTACATTTTGACAAATCCACTAGTATGTCAATGCCATAAAGCACCATTAATGCACTAAAATTAATGATCACGCCAACATGACTACACAATTTTGCTTTTAGCGTTAATTGAAATTTATAATGTAAAGTAAAAAAATAGGGCCTATAATTACATGTACATACTGGAAGTCAAATTTTCATTAGGAACCTCTAAATTCTGCTCCAACAAAAATTCTGGAGTGCGGAAGAATTAATGAATGCCTAGGAATCTTTAAACTACTGCATCACCTTGTAAGTGAGGGGTGGCATCAGCCTTTATTACAAGGCCTTATCAATATAAAGCCAACAATGTAAGGTACTACCAACTTAGTCTGGGCCTTTGTTTTGCAAAATGTAAATTCAACTATAAAAAAAGTACAGGGTACCTATACACATCGTTCTAATACTGCAAAAATATTTTATAATCAATATAATATAGTGGAACCATAAAAATGTTCCAAAAGGTTTTAAAACTAATGATAAGACACTATCTGCATCAGTTGCATAAACATGGTAAATATATTATAGGAATTTACTTTCAAAATTCCTAGAGTACTTTTGCCTGAACGATCTTTCCACTATATATCTCACATTCAGTGCAAAATTATATACTTCTGAAGATGCATCTTCAATAAAAAAAAATCCTAAAATATGTTATGTAATAGTGCGCCCAACATGCCTTTCCTGTAGATTCTCATGCTTGCCTAATAGTTCATCATCATTAGACAAAGAAAGGAGAATGTCGGATTCATCCTCATGCTGCACATCACGACGCTTGTAGCGAACCTGAAGAGAATAAGATAAGGTACTTGATTAGTCACAAATCTGGCAAATCTTAAAAACATTCGCTTGCAAATTTTTAAGAGTTTTTATTATAAGAAAGAATTAGCATAAATAGAATTTCGAATTTTAGAAAAGCAATTCTCCAGACCAGAAAAGAACCTATACAGCCTCTCCTCACTTAGCGACATACTCGTTGACCAACCACTCGGACTTACGACCAGCTCTCCAACCAGTATGCAAACCTAAGTAATGTATATTAGAGCTGATTTCCTCTGTTCTGTTTATTAAAGAATACAGTACACTATTGCATAAACATTTAAAAATATACTAGAAATGTTATAAATGGTGCAAGGGTGACATTAAAAAAATATCTAAAGATGGTTGACACAAACCCACTACCAGTATACATGTAGTATGCTCCTCGCTTAACGGCCAATTCACTTACCGACCTACTCTTAGGAACGGAACCCTGTCGTTAAGTGAGGCAGGGCTGTATTAATCCTTCCACCGTCCAGACCCCCTGAAAATAATATTGCTCCAAGTGCCCGCTTATAAAACAAATCTGAAATGGTCAAGATTCTTTTTCTGAAGGAAGATGATGTCATAACAGTATGAAATTCGATGGAAAATTTATGGAATTATGCAAGCACAAAGTTAGCGATGTGAGCACAATTTATGCATCAGTGATTTTGCCCACTTTGAGTCTTATTTTATGTCAATTCCATTCCATTATTCAACCAAATACTTAGCTATTTCACTAGTATGTCTTCTGTTCCATAGAGTGAGCACAAGAAACTAGCCATTCAACTATTACAACTACCCTACAAATTGCACAGAGAATGGTAATTTGGCTAATTTTACACAAAATTAAAAAAATACCAATTTAAAAATAGAGTGTAATATAAATGTAGACATTCCTGGCACTAAAACAACATTTCCTCTGTTTATTAATTATGTCCCTAGGCCTCTGCTATATTACACTTACCTTCCATTTTGAATACATAATCACACATACAGTAAATAGAAGATTTACTCTATTTCCTGGATAATAAAATATAGCCAGGATTGATTGGTCATGGTTTACGGTGTCCCAATAATTGAATCAGACCTATTAAAAACCCATAAAACGGATTGGGGGTGTAGGGAGCCAACAAAAGAAAGACATTGTACATTTGTGATTATATTGTTTACCTTAGAGATTCTTGAAGAAGTAGAAGAGGAGCCATCCTGAAAAGCACTCTCTTCATCTCTTTCTGGGCGTTTAACCTTCAACATTAAGAAGTTGTCTGTCACCCAGAAGATGAGAGCCTGATGATACAAAGTTTCATGAGGAATGTATACAATGAAGAATGAAATGATGATGTATATGAAGAAATGGTGTACTACTGATGAAGCAGCAGCAGCAGCGGCGGCGCCGATGATGATGATATTATTATTATTATTATTTTTTTTTTTTCAACAAGTCGCTCATCTCCCACCGAGGCAGGGTGACCCAAAAAAGAAAGAAAATCCCCAAAAAGAAAATACTTTCATCATCATTCAACACTTTCACCACACTCACACATTATCACTGTTTTTGCAGAGGTGCTCAGAATACAACAGTCTAGAAGCATACACATATAAAGATACACAACATATCCCTCCAAACTGCCAATATCCCAAACCCCTCCTTTAAAGTGCAGGCACTGTACTTCCCATTTCCAGGACTCAAGTCCGACTATATGAAAATAACCGGTTTCCCTGAATCCCTTCACTAAAATTACCCTGCTCACACTCCAACAGATCGTCAGGTCCCAAGTACCATTCGTCTCCATTCACTCCTATCTAACACGCTCACACACGCTTTCTGGAAGTCCAAGCCCCTTGCCCACAAAACCTCCTTTACCCCCTCTCTCCCCAACCCTTTCGGGGGACGACCCTACCCCGCCTTCCTTCCCCTATAGATTTATATGCTTTCCATGCATTCTACTTTGATCCATTTTCTCTAAATGACAAACCACCTCAACAAACCCCCTCTTCTGCCCCTGACTAATACTTTTTTTAACTCCACACCTTTTCCTAATTTCCACACTCCGAATTTTCTGCATAATATTTACACCACACATTGCCCTTTAAAAAGGACATCTCCCCATGCCTCCAACCGTCTCCTCGCTGCTGGGATTTTCCACTCAAGCTTCACACCCATATAAGAGTGTTGGTACTACTATACTTTCATACATTCCCTTCTTTGCCTCCATAGATAACGTTTTTTTTGACTCCACATTACCTCAACGCACCACTCACCTTTTTTCCCTCATCAATTCTTGTTAACCTCATCCTTCATAAATCCATCCGCCGACACGTCAACTCCCCAAGTATCTGAAAACATTCCTTTTTTCCATACTCCTCCTCCCCAATTTGATATCCAATTTTTCTTTTCTAAATCATTTGATACCCTCATCACCTTACTCTTTTCTATGTTCACTTTCAACTTTTTACCTTTACACAGATTCCCAAACTCATCCAATAACCTTTGTAATTTTTCTTTAGAATCTCCCATAAGCACAGTATCATCAGCAAAAAGTAACTGTGTCAATTCCCATTTTGAATTTGATTCCCCAAAATTTAATCCCACCCCTCTCCCGAACACCCTAGCATTTACTTCCTTTACAATTCCATCTATAAATATATTAAACAACCATGGTGACATTACATTACATTATTTCTGAAAATGCAAAGCATTTCCAATATCTGGTTTGGGTGAATTATTTCTTCATACATATGCAGAAAAAAGAAAGAAAAACGGATACTGCATTTTTGACTTACAGGCATACCTTGCTTTAAGGATCGTCACTTTAGTGTTTTGCTAATACTACAGCACTTTTCCATTACACATATTATTTATTATTATTTTTGGTGCTTGCCTTGCTCTTAAGATGATTTTCAGCGGTGACAAGCACATCAGCTGACTCCGAACTGAATCGAGCGAGTCAACCAGCGCCATTTTGTTACCCACACTCAATCTGATTGCAGCATTAACCCTTTGACTGTTGCGGCCGTATACATACATCTTACGAGGTACCGTGTTTGATGTATATACATGTATACTCATAAATTCTAGCGGCTTCAAATCAAGAAGGAGAAAGCTGGTAGGCCCACATGTGAGAGAATGGATCTGTGTGGTCAGTGTGCACCACATAAAAAAAACCCTGGAGCACGCAGTGCATAATGAGAAAAAAAAAACTCCGGCTGTTTTTTTAATTAAAATGCCGAATTTGTGGTCTATTTTCGTATAGTATTTATGGTTGTATTCTCGTTTTCTTGGTCTCACTTGATAGAATGGAAGACATATTATAGAAAAAGAGATGATTTTGATTGATTTTACTATAAAAAGAACCTGGAAATGGAGCTCAAAGTAGGGGAAATGTTTGATTTTTGCCAATGTTCAAAAGTAAACAAATGACATCAGTTTCCAATAAATGTCCAACTAGCCATTCTAATATGCAGTCATGAATGGGTTGATGTTATTTATACAATTATTACAGTATTGGAGTAGTCTGCATAATAGTAAATCTTTTATTTTTTGTTTGAATAAAAATTCAAAATAGAAAGCAAGAGTAATATCAAAGGGGCCTGGAGACATGACTGATGAACAAAAAAGAATGTTATTTTAGAGCCAGGAATGTCTGCATTGTTCATTCTGGACCTTATTTTGAATTGTCATATTTTTTAATTTTCGTGAAATTGGCCAAATTGCAAATTTCTGACCACGTTATTGGGTAGTTGAAATTGGTAAATGGGCAGTTTCTTGTACTCAATTGATAGAAAAAATGGAGTTCTAAAGAAATAGCTATGAATTTGGTCGACTGGAACAATGGAATTAGCCGAAAATAGGGCTCAAAGTGGGTGAAATCGCCGATTTGTAAATATCACCAATGTCGCTAACTCTGCGAGAGCGTAATTCCGTCAGTTTTCCATCAAATTTCGTTTTTTTTGGTGTCATTACAATCGGGAAAAGATTCTCCATCATTTCATAAGAAAAAATATTTTTTTTTTTTTAATTTTGCGACACCAGGAGACACCTCAGGACTGGGGGTTGCGACAGTCAAGGGGTTAAATTTGAGTTTCATGTCTCAGTGTTGCATTCAGGCAATTTTCAAAATATTTCAAACTTTATTATTTTTTTACTTTTGAATTGTTTTGTTGAGGCCTATCACTATTGTGCACTTAATAAATAATAGTGTAAACATGTTTTTAGGCTTTTATATGCACTGACAAGTAAAAAAAAGACAGATTCACTTTTAAGGCGATATTCACTTTACGGCAGTGGTCTGGAACCTAACCCGCAGTAACAGCGAGGTATGCCTGTACATAGTCAGGTATTAAGTGATAATGAGACTAAAGTCAATCTTATGTCCATGTTCAAGTAGGTTTTTTTTCATATTCTATATGTTCTTTTGACATACTGCATTCACTCATTAGAGGAACATATATTACAGTGATTACTAACCAAAATGAATCCATTAACTAGATCATACTAGGTCTATACATTTTTTAACATGCCAGCCATTTCCTACTGAGGTATGGGGACAACATGTATAGGATAAAAATTAAAAAAAAAAAACTCAGAACATCCCTAAAATCTGAGGGCATTAATACAGTAATTGAAATTTGTTCCAGCTTTTCAGATGCTTAATCTATTTTGTGCAGTGAATAAAGGATTCCTATATAGTTCAATGAAGTGATCAAAATTTGAAATTAAAATTAGTGTTTACCAGTCCAGTGTCTCAGTAATTCCAGACAAAAGGTTCAAAGATCAGTTCATTGAATTATTACATCTGTTCATTATAAATTTTTCAGTACATACTGTAGCTGTATATTTTCTAGCCAAGACATGTCTGCTTTAGATTCAAGATACGATGACAAAGCAGTAGTTTAAGAGTTTAAGTCATTATAAGAGAATCATAATAACTGATATATTCACAAACAATAATTCTTTAGTGATAGTCATGTAACTGATTTTTATAACAGATTCCTTTTAGGGGGAAGGGATTCGGGGAAACCGGTTAACTAGTTAATTTTTAGGATAAATAACAATGCCTGCAATCTGGGGCAGCGGGATGTAGCATTCGAGTCTTCGAACCTGATATCGGCACTTCTGGCAAAAACTTTTTAATGAATGAAAGTGAAGTGTTACCTTGTTTTTTTGCATTACCTTCCCTTGGAGGAAAATGGCGGGAAAGGGTTAAAAAAAAGTCATGAACTATATTTTGTGCACCGGGCCCCCGATAGAAAATAAGTCAAACTTTTGACTTTTTTAAAGTTTACAAGGTAAATTTTTTCTGCACACGTTACTTAAAGACAATTATAAAAAAATTAAACTTGTTAATAACCTAAAAAAAAATTTATTTATCTCCAAACAAAAAACCCCAAAAGATATTATAAGCATCCTAAAAAAATAGGCAAATATTAGGAGGAAAAAGCAAGGAATTTTGGTATTACAAGGTACAGCTTTTAACTCGTAAGTCTAATTAAGTGATTTTTTCATCGGGCCCATTTCTGCCAATATGGGTGACACACTCATCATTCTTTCAATAGCTGTCTTGCCAAAGCCAAAAGGCACCCAAAAAATAAAATTGCCCGTCTGAAAAAAATATCCCCATCCCTCCTTCTGAATGCAGGCATGGTGTACTTCCCACACCCCAGACTCAACGGGGTAAGCAATTTTAACCTGTTTACAAACAAAATTGGAAGTACTTTTATGCAGAACATAAACAAACAAATTTTTATTTCTTTGAAAGGTTTTACACTGAATTATGAAATTACAATAAGGGGGTCAGTGCAAAGAAGCCCTATCATCCCCTAGGCATTAGGGCAGATTAATTTAATGGCTTCTTAATAAAAGAAATTGATCTAGTTTTTTTTAAGTATACATCTTTGTTTAAGCAGACAGTATTTTTTTACTCAAATTACAATAGTTTAAATAATGAATACTGAAATTAAATTAGGGGAATAAAACTTTTTAATTTGTTAAAAGTAGTTTACAGTATGAAATGCTAAAACTGGGTTAAGGAATACGTGGCCCCCCGCATCCCGTTCACCCCGCATACCGCTCGCTTTTGCGCAAAAATTTGCCTCGATACCGCCCAAAAACCCGTTCACCGTCTTCGTCCAAACACTCCAATGTGCGCCCTTACCAGCCTACTTGCCCCCGTGGCATTGTTTACCAGCCACCTCCGGTAACACCCAAGCTACAACAGAACATTTCGTATTATTACAGTGTTTTGGGTGTTTTATCGGGAAAATAGTGACCAGGGCCCAAGAAAGCTTCTAGGCCAACCTACAGGAAAAGGGTGGAATTACATAAGATGAAGAAAGAGACATTATAAGTTGAAAGTGGAGGCGTGTCGCCGACCGGGCCGGTTGTCAAGAAACCCAAATAAACCATCGTACTATTGTGGGAACAGAAAGGCATCAAGGAACTGTTTTTGCCAAAGGTTTACAGTTTTTTCGAAACAGAGATGCAATGATGGAAGAGTTGGGGGAACTCTTTTTGGTGTGATAAATAAAAACACTAGCGGGAGATAGCGTCCTCAAGCGATCAAAAGGGAAAAGGCTAGGAAGTTGCATGAGGTTTTAATTAAAAAAAATCCTGCAACTATGATGATGTGAGTGAATTAAGGCCAGCAAAAAGGGTTTGGGTTTTAGAGATTAAGAACGTAGGGCATAAAAGGTGATAAGGGGATGGTGAGGCGCAGTTCGGGGCCCCCAAAGCAGCTTTAAAAAATGTGCAGAATTCAAGGGGTACATGACATGAAGGACTAAACCTGAACAAGGGTTTTAATTTTTGGGTGAAAAAAGGCCTGTTTTGGGGAAAAAATGCCCAAACAGGACCTACTTTTCTCAGGAGGAAAAGGCACCCCAGGACATAACCCCATGAAAGACAGGCTTACTTTGTTGATGTGTTCCCAACACTGGGGATTGCAAAGTGAAGCCTTTATTGGTACACTCTGAAATCCCGACCGTTCAGGGAAAAAAATTTCCTCAAGGGGAATTTTTTGGGGGTGTGGAGGGCAAAAAAAAAGTAAGGCAGGTTTTTGGGACTTTTTCTATGACTGGGTTTCACCATGCATTTCCCCCAAGTGAAAGATTACCTAACGAAAAGAAATTTGAAATTAATGCCTCCTGGTGTAGACAATGCCCCCGGTCATCCTACAGCGTGGGAGAGCGACTTTAAAGTGGACATGAAATTCTTTTGGTGAATTTTTGCCCCTAATACCACTCCTCTCCCGCAGCCCATGGACCAGCATTATTGCAAACTTAAAAAACTGTACACAAAAGCCTGTTTTTAAAAGGGGCTTTTTAGTGCCTCAAAATCAAAGACTCTAAAGGTTTTGGAAGAAGCACTTTAAAATCCTCAAATTTTGTAAACTTATAGGTAAAAGGGTTGGGGGGGAGGACTAAGAAGACCTTGAAATTGCTTGGAAAAACTGTGGCCCGAAGTTTGAAAAAAAAGATTTTTTAAAAGGGGTTTTAGGCAAACCCGAGAGGATTATCCAGTTTAGGGAAACCATTGTGGCATTGGGGAAAATCCTTTGGGGGTTTGGAGGTTATGGGGATGATGTGGAAGAGTTTTGGGGGAGGAGGACAATAAGAACTAACCAGATGAGCGATAGATAACTTTAACACAAAAGGGCCAGACTGGGAAACTGGGCGAAGGGGGGAAGGAAATTGAAGAAATTCCATACAAAGATTAAGGAAATCGTGCAAAATGGGGTTGAAGTGAAACCTTCATGAAAAATCCCCCTCAACAGCTATTGCAAGCCGTCTGGGGATTTTTTCCTGCAATGTTTGAAACACTTTTGGGAATCATAAAGGAACAGAGGTACAGGGCCACTATGGACAGATTGTTTTTGGGGAAAGAAGTCCAGTGACTCTGAAGCTGGGGCCTAGTGGCATTTAAAAGAAGAAGGGAAGTAACCCCCGAAAAAAGGGTCGAACCTCAAGTTTAATGGAAGAGGATTCCCCTTCTAAACATAAACTTCCCCTCCCCCCCTCCCATCCCATAATCTCACCAAACTTTAAAAAAAGTAAGTGTCTGTAATTGTGCAGCCTTTTCATTTTGTGTATAAAATTAACTTTCATGTGGTAAAAATTTTTTTTTTTTATACTTTTGGGTGTCTTTCACGGATTTAAATTTTATTCCATTATTTCTTATGGGGAAAATTCATTCGCATACCGATCATTTCGCAAACAATCAGCCCCCTTGCACGGGTTAAAGTGCTATGTGGGGGTCCACTGTATTGTTTTGGGGTTTTTTTCTATACGACTTGATCCTGGAAAGGAAGTACAATGCCTGCATTAAAGGAGGGGTTTTTGGGAAATTGGCAGTTTGGAAGGGAAAGTTGTGTATCTTTTTATGTTAGCTTCTAGACTGTTGTTTTGAGCACCTCTGCAAAAACATGGTAATTGCGGTGTGGGGAAAATGTTGAAGAGATGAAAGTTTTTCTTTTTTTGGGGATTTCTTTCTTTTTTTTGGGGCACCCTGCCTCGGTGGGAGACGGCCGACTTGTTGAAAAAAAAAAAAAAAAAAAAAAAAAATTTATACCACAAAGTAGGATTAATAATGTATGAACTTTGGATGTCTAAGTTTGAAGTTTTAAGATTTGGAGAATTTTTTGATAAATTTAAATACTGAGTATTGAGTATTTAGTTTAGGGGGAGTAGGGGGTTTTTGGAAGACCTTAAACTGGTAAAAACAGGAGTAAATATTTAAACACTATGACATGAATATTAAAGAAATGACATATTAATAAAAAAATTAAAGTCAAACAAGTGATTCACTTGTACAGTAATAAATTATAAGTAAAACAAGATAAAAAAATCAAGGAAGAAAATGCAGTGCAGAATGAAGGCTTTTTATTAACGTGTTTAAAAAAGAAAAAATAGAAGATAAAATCCAAACTAGTCCTATATTTACAATACCAGTCAAAAACGTTGAATTTGGGTCAGAAAAGTGTATAAATCATACTTACATTAATGAAAAAGGGAATGACTAGAACGACAATGACTACTCGAACTTGTGGGTCAGTAATGGGAGCCAATATGAGATCTCTCACACTAGACCAGAACTGGAGAGCTAACAGCCCTGTGATGACCACTTTCACTACAACCATAATGCCCACATACAAAGCACACTGGTGACCCCAAGCACGCACCGATGGAGGACGACCTTGAAAAAAAAAAAGTATAAAAAAAAAAAATCTTTACATATGTCAAGCAAATCATGCTACCATACAAAATGCTCTAGTGCTAGTCACATCTCTCAGTTGAGACTCTTCATGGTTATATCTAGGACAGGTACACTCATTCTCTTTATACACATGCAGCAGGTAAAACTTGCATGCTTACAAGTTGTTCTGACACAGCTTTCGAAATTCAAGTTAAGCTACTTGAAATTAAAAAAATAATTGTTTCTAAAGTCTTTCAATGTTACTTTTGTCTCTTAGACAATCATATAAACTATGGACAGTGGGAAAGCTTGCTATCCTTGGGGAAAACTTTTTTATAAAACAAAAATTTATTTGCAGTAGCTTGAGAACCAAATTAAACTTTAAAAACATTTTAAAATCTGTATATAAATGTTGTGAGAACTTTTGGTACTGAAACTTTGTGATGAAGGTTGATGATATCTCACATATCATCCCTCCAGCCCTTCCTGTTATTTCAGGAAGGAAATTTATTTTCTGGGTATTCCACAGTTAATGGATTCAAGACTAAGATAGCCAGATGGTTTCAGGCCAAATATATTTTAAACAGAAAATTCTTTATATAGTATATATTACAAATCATGTAGTAAAACTGTATTTTAAATATTATGCAGAATACTGTTGCATTACAAATAATTTAAAATAATAATATACTGCATTAGCAAGTTTTTTTTTTTCAAGAGATGAATAAAAACTTTGACAAACTGTAGGAAAGAAATACAATCTTGTATGTTAATATATAGTTCAAAGCAGAGTGAAACAATGCTTACCATACTCTCCAAAGATAATGGTGGGCATTCCCTGCTTCTGACCAATATAAATACTGAGCCTAATTCCTGCCCAAATGATGACCAAGCCTAGTGTGGAGTCTAGTAAAAAACTAATTATGTACCTGAAAAAATTTGCATTTTTAAATCTTTCAATAATGGGACAAAAATGTTCATTAATACCATCATCAGAGAAGTATTTATATACAAAGTTTGGTATAAAAACATGCAAGGACAGAAACGTTTACAAATATTACGTTGTTTTAAATTAGTTTAGGGCAGATAAAATAGCCATATATTGTGCAGTACAAGCAAGTTATAAATTTTTAATTTAATTATTGACTTACCAAGTACATGGGTCTCCTTTGAAAGCTTCTGAGAGAAACACATTGCAAAAGTGGACAATCATAGCTCCCAGACCCTGTTTGGAGGTGTCATAGAACCACACAAGCCATGACCTTCGATGCTTCTTGGGCTCACAAAATCTCTTCACTGTACAAACAATATTAAAAAAAATTATATAAAAAAAAAAAAAAAAAGATAAATTAAGTGGAGCACTCTAACCAACATGAACTCCAATCTCCTTATTTTTTTATGCTACAATGCTTTAGGGTACTCAGCTTACCACAACTCCAAATTTCACTTTTCTATTTACAGGCAGTCCCAATTAACCCTTAAATGGTCCAAATAGATCGACGTTCATATTCGTAGTGCTACAAAAGTAGATCTACTTTTTTTTACATATTTTCAAATATAACAAAAAAAAATGTAGATAAAAGTTTTTACCACAATTTTTTTTTGGTTTTTTTTTTTTTTGTATTCAAATGGTAAAAACAAAAAAGATCTATATTTTTTTACATACTTTCAGATGTTGAAAAAACGTATACAGTGGACCCTCGACTAACGCTATTAATCCGTTCCTGAGAGCTCATCGTAGTCAAAATAATCGTTAGTCAAGTTAATTTTCTCCATAAGAAATAATGGAAATCAAATTATCCGTGCAAGACCACCCAAAAGTATTGAAAAAAAAAAAAAATTTAACCATGAAATATTTATTTTTAATAAACACAAACTGAAAGAGACATGCACAGTTACATGACACTTACCTTCATTGAAGATCTGGTGATGATTGATGGGATGGGAAGAGGGGAGTGTGTTGATGGGTCTTAGTGTTTAGAAAGGGAAATCCCCTTCCATTAGGACTTGAGGTGTCAAGTCCTTTATCGGGGTTACTTCCTTCTTCTTTAATGCACTAGGACCAGCTTTGAGAGTCCTGGACCTCTGTTGCACAACATATCTGCCCATAAGGCCTGTACCTTCCCCGTTCCTTTATGACATTCCTAAAGTGTTTCACAACATTTCATTTTTTTTTTTTTTTTTATTATCACACCGGCCGATTCCCACCAAGGCAGGTGGGCCGCCCGAAAAAGAAAACTTTCACATCATTCACTCCATCACTGTCCTTGTCTTGCCATATATGGTGCTTTACACTACAGTTTTTTTAAAACTGCAACATTAAAAACACCCCCGTCCTTCAGAGTGCAGGCACTGTACTTCCCATCCTCCAGGAAACTCAAGTTCCCGGCCTGCCGGTTTCCCCTGAATCCACCTTCATAAATGTTACATTTGCTCACACTCCAACAGCACGTCAATATTAAAAACCATTTGTGTCTCCATCACTCCTATCAAACACCTCACACATGCCTGCTGGAAGTCCAAGCCCCTCGCACACAAAACCCTCCTTGACCCCCCATCCCTCCAACCCTTCCAGGCCGACCCCGACCCCGCCTTTCCTTCCACTACAGACTGATACACTCTTGAAGTCATTCTGTTTCGCTCCATTCTCTCTACATGTCCGAACCACCTCAACAACCCTTCCTCAGCCCACTGACAACAGTTTTGGTAATCCCGCACCTCCTCTCCTAACTTCCCAAACTACGAATTCTCTGCATTATATTCACACACACATGCCCTCGACATGAACAATCTCACTGCCTCCAGCCTTCTCCTCGCTGCAACATCATCACCCACGCTCAACACCCATATAAAGAGCGTTGGTGAAACTATACACTCATACATTCCCCTCTTTGCCTCCAAGGACAAAGTTCTTTGTCTCCACAGACCCTAAGTGCACCACTCACTCTTTTTTCCCTAAGGGGTCAATTCGATGATTCAACCTCATCTTTCATAGACCCCAGTCCGCTGACACGTCCACTCACCAAATATCTGAATACGTTCACCTCCTCCATACTCCTCTCCCTCCAATCTGATATTCAATCTTTAATCCACCTACTCTTTTTTCTTTATCCCTCATAACCTTACTCTTCCTGTATTCACCTTTAATTTTCTTCTTTTGAAACACCCTACCAAATTCATCCACCAATCTCTGCTCAACTTCTCCTTCAGAATCTCCCAAGAGCACAGTGTCATCGGCAAAGAGCACTGTGACAACTCCCACTTTTGTGTGTGATTCTTTATCTTTTAACTCCACCCTCTTGCCAAGACCCTCGCATTTACTTCCTCTTACAACCCCATCTATAAATATATAAACACCACGGTGACATCACACATCTTGTCTTAAGGCCTACTTTTACTGGAAAAAATTTCCCTCTTTCCTACATACTCTAACTTGACCTCACTATCCTCGTAAAAACTCTTCACTGCTTTCAGTAACCTACCTCCTACAACATACACTTGCATCATCTGCCACATTGACCCCCCCCCTATCCACCCTGTCATACGCCTTTTCCAAATCCATAAATGCCACAAAGACCTCTTTAAGCCTTATCTAAATACTGTTCACTTATATGTTTCAACTGTAACACCTGGTCCACACAACTACTGACACCCCTCTAACCTTCCTAAAGCCGTCCTTGTTTCATCTGCTATCCTATTCTCCTCTTACTCTTAATTCTTTCAAATATAACTCTACCCATACACTTTACAGGTACAAACTCAACAGACTTATCCCCCTAAATTTTTGCACTCTCTTTTAATCCCCTTTGCCTTATACAAAGGAACTATGCATGCTCTCTGCCAAGTCCTAGGTAACCTTACCCTCTTCATACATTTATTAAATAATTGCAACCAACCACTCCAAAACTATATCCCCACCTGCTTTTTAACATTTTCTATCTTTTATCCCAATCCAATCCCGGCTGCCCTTACCCCCTTCATTTACCACTGCCTCACGAACTTCCCCCCACACTCACAACTGCTCTTCCTCACTCCTAACAAATGTTATTCCTCCTTGCCTTATAAATAAATTTTACTATACACTAAAATCACGAGCTTCCCTATCTTCATCAACATTTAACAATTCTCAAAATAATTCCTTCCATCTCTTCCCATACCTCTACCTCTCCATTTAATAACTCTCCTCCTCCTATTTTTAACTGACAAATCCATTTGTTCTCTAGGCTTTCTTAACTGTTAATCTCACTCAAAAACTTTTTCTTAATTTCAACAAAATTTGTGATAACATCTCAACCCACTCTCTCATTGCTCTCATTTTACATTGCTTCAACACTCTCTTAACTTCTCTCTTTTTCTCCATATACTCTTCACCCTCCTTGCATCAACTTTTTACTTTGTAAAAACTTCTCATATGCTAACGTTTTCTCCTACTACTCCTTTTCATCATCATTCACAATCGCTGGTCCTCTTCCCCCTCTGCACCCACTTTCCTGTAACCACAAACTTCTCTGAACACTCTAACAATACATTTGAAATCCTACCCCATACCTCTTCGACCCCATTGACCTATGCTCTCATAGCCCATCTATCCTCCAATAAGCGGTTTATATCTTACCCTAACTGCCTCACTCTTTTAGTTTATAAACCTCACACTCTCTCTTCCTGAGTCTATTCTCCTTGTATCCCATCTACCTTTTACTCTCATGTAGCTACAACTAGAAAGTGATCTGATACATCTGTGCCCCTCTATATACATTACATCTGAAGTCCCTACTCAACAGTCTTTTATCACTATGACATAATCCAACAAACCTACTGTCCATTTCGCCCTACAATCATATCGTGTATACTTATTTATCCTCTTTTTCTAAAAATATGTATTACCTATAACCTAAACCCCTTTTCTATACAAAGTTCAATCAAAGGGCTCCCATTATCTTTACACCTGGCACCCCAAACTCTTTACCTACCACACCCTCTCTAAAGTTTCTCCTACTTTAGAATTCAAAGTCCCCTACCACAATTACTCTCTCACTTGTTCAAAGCTCCCTATACATTCAACTTAACATCTCCCAAAATCTCATCTCTCTCCTCGCATTCCTCTCTTCTCCCAGGTGCATACACCTATTAATGACCCACTCCATCGCATCCAACCTGTTTACTAATCCCATAATTCTTGAATTTACACATTCATATTCTCTTTTCTCCTTCCTAACTGATCATTTAACAATACTGCTACCCCTTCCTTTGCTCTAACTCTCCTCAATACTCCAGATTTAATCCCATTTATTTCCCCCACTGAAACTCTCCTACCCCCCCTTCAGCTTTGTTTCGCTAGGCCAGGACATCCCAACTTCTTTTCATTTCATAACATTCAGCAATCACTGTTTCTTGTCATCCGCACTACATCCACGCACATTTAAGCAACCCAGTTTTATAACATTGTCAGTGTCACCATTAAACACTTGTCCAGGTTTCAGTCCTTCACTGTCTATGTACTCTTTGAATTCCTTCACATATTTTTCAGCTGCTTTTTGGTCCAAACTGGCAGCCTCACCATGCCTTATCACACTATGTATGCCACTACAATTCTTAAATCTCTCAAACCACCTTTGCAGGCCTTAGAAGTTCACTCACATCACCACTAGATGATCTGGTCATTTTTCTAATTAAATCGTCATGCAAAACTTCCTAGCCTTTTCACATATGATCGCTTTTGAGTAGATGCTATCTCCTGCTATCTGTTTTTTCGTTTATCCATACCCAATAACAGTCTCTCAACATCTTCTATCACTTGCGATCCTCAGTTCGAAAACATAGTTGCACCTTTGGCAAGACAGCTTTCCTTGATTGCCGTTTTCTTGGCCACAATAGCAGCGATGGTTTGATTGGGGTTTTGTGTACAGCCTGGCCAGCTCGGAGACAAGCCACTCCACTTTCATACTTAGCAATGATCTCTATTCTTCATATCCATAGTAATTCTCACTCTTTTGCGTGTAAAGGTTGGCACTATAAGCTTTCTTGGTTGGGGCCCATGGTGGAACATACATATTTTGCAGGTGCAATCACTAAAAAGGCTGTGATAATATGAAATGTTCCAATTGTATGCTTGGAAGTGACCGCGGTGGCTGGCTGGCTTGTAAACACTGGCCAGAAGTGGACGCGTCTCAGACGGAAGGAATAGTGTTGGTCGAGTTTTTTAGCGCTAATCGAGGCAAAATTTTTGCGATAAAATGTATCGCTAGTCAGATTTATCGTTAATCGATGCCATCGCTGGTCGAGGGTCCACTGTATAAACGTTTGGACCATTTAAGGGTTAACAAAGAGAAATTTAATGAAAATTTACATCAATTATACAAAAAGAAACAATCATGTTCAAAAAATTTAACAATTCTATGACTAATATTCCTCTGATGTTTTTTTTAATTCCTAGGTATGTAGTAGGTTGGTAGACAGCAACCGCCTAGGAAGGTACTACCGTTCCTGCCAACTGAGTGTAAAATAGAAAGCCTGTAATTGTTTAACATGATGGTAGGATTGCTGTTGTCTTTTTTCTGTCTCAAACATGCAAGATTTCAGGTACATTTTGCTACTTCTGCTTAGACTTAGGTCACACTACACATGCATGTACAAGCATATGTATATACACCGCTCTGGATTTTCTTCTATTTCCTTACTAGTTCTTGTTCTTGTTCATTTCCTCTTATCTCCATGCGGAAGTGGAACAGAATTCTTCCTCCGTAAGCCATGAGTGTCGTAAGAGGTGACTAAAATGCCGGGAGCAAGAGGCTAGTAACCCCTTCTCCTGTATAAATTACTAAATTTAAAAAGAGGAACTTTCGTTTTTATTTTTAGGTCACCCTGCCTCAGTGGGATACAGCCAAATTGTCGAAAGAAAGAATAACAATAATTTTGTAATTAAAATTCTCATTTAGCCTTTTACCAAAATTCAAGGAAGTGAGAAACATTGTTCATACAGGGTCTGCCATTCTGTATAAAACTACCGTACAATGATAATTCACAGGAAGCTATTTTAGCCCATAAACTATGGACTGTGGGATGACACCTTACCAAACCCATTCCCCACCTTAGCTATTTTTGAAGAGTGGAAGAGAGGGACAAAAAAGTTACATGTAGAGTATGCTACACTGGAACCTCAACTTACGAGTTTAATCCATTCCATGACCTAGCTCGTAACTCAATTTGCTCGTATATCAAATCAATTTTCCTCATTTAAATAACTGAAATGCCATTAATCCGTTCCAGCAGAATTCCTGCTCTCGGGAGGCAAGACAAAATACGTCAATATATAAAGCTAATATCAACTCTATGACTTATTTATCCATCACAACTGATCTAATATGAGATAATAAACAATATAAATAATACAGAAACATGATATACTCTAGAATGAATAAAAAATTTCATTATGTGACGAGTGGTGGCGGCCATTGCCGCTCCCGCACTGACCATATCTTCCCATTCTTCCCCTTCTGAAAATGGTGTTTGTGAGGCTAACTGCACTAGATCACTAGTTTCATAAGGAAAACACTGAAACTATGTGTTTATAAATAAGAAATATTGTATAAAAACATAATAAAACATAATAGAGAATGTCAAGAAATAAACTGGTTTTATAAAGTGTACATAGAGAGAAGAGAAGAGATGCTGGTGAGGTGGAGGGTGGAAGATAGGCAGATTGGCGTATACTGTCAATGGGCCATGACCACAACCCGCTTGTGTTTATTCCATGGACATCATCCTCTTTTTCTTCTCAGCACTGTCCTTTGCACTTACTTTCTTAACCTTTTCAGGGTCGGTAGGCCCTCTCCTAAACTTGTTCTCAGGGTAGGAAATTTTTTGAAAAAAAAAAAAAAAAAAAAAAAAAAAAAAAAAAAAAAATAATCTTATGAAATGATAGAGAATCTTTTCCTGATCGTGACACCAAAAGTGTGAAATTTGATGAAAAACTTACGGAATTATACTCACAAAGTTAGCAGTCTCGATGATGTTTATGCATCGGCAATTTCGCCCACTTTGAGCCCTATTTTCAGCCAATTCCAATGTACCAGTCGACAAAAATCATAACTATTTCGCTAGAAATCATTTTTTCTATCGAATGCGTAAAAGAAACCACCCATTTACTGATTTCAACTATCCAATAAAGTGGTCAGAAATTGGCAATTTTGCCAATTTCACACAAATTTCAAAAGATGGCAATTTCCAAAAAGGGTCCAGAATAAACAAGACAGACATTCCTGGCACTAAAATAACATTTTTTCTGTTCATTAGTCATTTCCCCAGCCTCTCTTACATTTCTTTTGCTTTCCACCTTTTGAATTTTTATCTCACAAAAAATAGAAAATTTTCTGTTTGCAGACTTCTGCATCACTGTAGAAAATGATATAAATAATATCGGCACACTTCACTATGTATGGTGGGGGGAAGAATATCAGACTCAAGCAGTAGTTCGTGTACTGGACGCGTGGCATGATTTGTTTTAACTTTTGAACATTGGCAAAAATCGAATATTTCTGCTACTATGGCTCGATTTTCAAGGTACTTTTCATTGTGAAACCAATCAAAAATCATCCAATTTCTGTAATATGTCTTCCATTCTATAAAAATGAACAGGAAAACTAGAATACAACCATGAAATAGCATATGAAAATACAACTTGCAAAGTCGCTGTTTTAAAGCAAAAACTCTGTCAGTTTTTTTTTCTCATTATGCACTGTGCGCTCAGGATTTTTTTTTAAACTGTGTGCACACGACCACATCACCATTCTTTCATATGTAGGCCTACCAGCTTTCTTTCGCTAGATTTGAAGGCGCCAGAATTTATGTGTACTAGTATGGCACCAACCCTGGTGTGCAAGCCGTTACTAGTATGGGCACCAAACCCTAAAGGGTTAAGATCCATGGTTAGAAAAAAGAAATTTGGCAAAATAACTGTACAAAATGCAAGCAAAGCACGAGAGAAATGCTTCAACTGCTCAGCAGATGCTTTGGCATTCACTGCTCCAACTAGTAGCGGTGTTCTGAAGCTTCTCATTATTATTATTATTATTATTATTATTATAATATTATTATTATTATTATTAATTTAAGGAACAAGCTCACTCATTATTATTAGTACTGTTATAATAATAATAATTATTATTATTAATTTAGGTAACTGGAGCACAGATCCAATTCCCTATATCAAGAGCCCCTCACCAGCATCAAGGAGCTTCAGAACGCCACCACTAGTTGGAGCAGCAAATGCCAAAACATATGCTGAGCAGTGGAAGCATTTCTCTCGTGCTTTGCTTGCATTGTGTACAGTTATTTTGCCAAATTTCTTTTTTCTAACCATGGGTCGTAAGAAAGTAAGTGCAAAGGACAGTGCTGAGAAGAAAAAGATGATGATGTCCATGGAATTAAAGCATGAAATCATAGAAAAACACAAGTGAGGTGTGAGGCGTGCGGGTTGTGGGTTGAAGGGGAAGCTCGTTCATAACTCGGCTTTTTGTTCTTAACTCAGAGCAAAAAATTGACCGAGCAACGGCTCGTGTCTCAAAAAACTTGTATGTTGGGGCACTTGTAAGTCGAGGTTCCACTGTATGTATCTATTTTCTAAATGTAGGTATTTATGGCGAGATGTTCATGTAAATATTTGTTTACATTTAGAGAAATTCATAGAAATGCACAACAATTTAACCAAAATTAAAATAACAATAAACTAAATCAAAGACACACTCTTTGCTACAACTCTAATACGTAATTTGATACCCTTGTCACAGCAAGGTTAAATCAGAAATTGTCTCTGGAAGAATTGCCCAAAATATCAACCTTCGCAATTCTAGCAATGTCAGAACTGAAGAGACTAAACAGCAATTTCTTCCTTAACAACTCAAATAAAAGAATTGTTTTCTAAGTTCACTGGGGCCAAACTAATGGTATCAGCAAGTGTTCAAACCCAAGAACATCGCCAGTTTACCATTGCCTCCGTGATTTACGAGATCTTATGCCTTCATTAACAACTATTATTACATCATGAATTGCATATACAACTGTTCTTGAAAAGTAAGTGAACAAGAAAGAAATTAATGGCGGTGAACCATAAGTCACTCACCCTGCCTCCCTTCCTTTTTCACTACATGATATTACTGGCTGTGATCATAATACATAAAAGTTTGACAGACAATGTAAATTGTGTTGTTTTATTACATTCACACAAAAAAACTCACTTCATGTGCAAGCAGCACTGGAGAGTGAAACAGTTAGGAGAGAATTTTAGCTAGTGCCGAAGTCAGTGGTAGTATCAAGAGTTCAATACATTTGAGAGAACCAGTTTAGCAGACTACCTTCAAACACTATGCAAACTTTCTCTCACTGTCTCTGATTGTTGCTGTTTCATGGCCTTATTAGCAACTGTTACTATATTATGAATCGTATTTACGAATATTTTTCATAAGTAGTACTATCATTGCAAGAAAAAGGAATTACAGTGGCCCCCCGGTTTAAACGTTTTTTAATCCGGAAGAGGGGTAATTGTTATGGAAATAATCGTTATGTGAATGAATTTTCCCCATAAGAAATAATGGAAATAAAATTAATCCGTGCAAGACACCCAAAAGATGAAAAAAAAATTTTTTTTACCACTGAAAATTAATTTTAATACACACAAACTGAAAAAGGCATGCACCCTTACATGAATTATTTTATTGAGATTTGGTGATGATTGATGGGTGGGAGGGGGGGAGGGGTTGTGTTAGTGTTTAGAAGGGGAACCCCCTTCCCATTAGGACTTGAGGTATAAGTCCTTTTCTGGGTTATTTCCCCTTTTTTTTTTTAAATTCCACTAGGGCCAGTTTCAGGTACTGGACTTTTTTTCGCACAAGAATCTGTCCATATGGCCTGTACCTCTCTTTCCCTTTATCACCCCCTAAAGTTTTTCAAACATTGTCAGTGTAATACCCCAGCCGGCTGCAATAGCTGTGTGGGGGGATTTTCATCCTGAAGGTTTCCCTTCAAGCCACTTTCAAGTTTTCCCTTTATTTTTGTAGTAGGCAATTCTTCAATTTCTCTCTCCCCCCCTCTGAACCATTTCCCCCGGGTCGGGCCTTTGCTGTTGAAGTTGATCTACAGCTCATCGGGGTTTGTTTTCATTTCCCTCCTCCCCAAACTTTCCACATCCCCCCCACAAACCTAAAACCCAAGGACTTTTCCCAATGCCAAATGGATTCCTAACTGGATAACCTCTCGGGGTTCCTCAAACCTTCAAATCCCTTTTTTTAAACCATTTGGCCACAGTTTTTCCAAGCAGGTTCAAGGTCCTCTTAGTCATTTCCCTCCAACCCTTATAAAAGGGTTTTTACAAATTGGGATATTAAAGTTCTCTCCAAAACCTCTTAGAGTCAGTTGATTTTCTGAGGTCATTAAAAAGCACCTTTCAAACAGAGCTTTTGTGTCAGTTTCTTAAAGTGGAAAAAACCCGTGGTCCATGGGCTGAGGAGGGAGTGGTATTAGGAGGCAAAAACTGATGTTAAAGAAATTTTTGTCCCCCTAAAGCGCTCTGCCACTCGTAGGGTGACAGGGGGTTTTCTAACACCAGGAGGATTAAGTTTAATTTCTTTTTTAGTTAGGTAAACTTTCACATGGGGGGAAATGCATGGTGTAACCATTATAGAAAAATTCCCTAGTGACCCATGCCCTTTCGTTTTTCCCTCCAAGCACACACAAATTATCCTTGAGGTTCTTTTCTAACGCTTTGGAGTTTAAAGGATACACTAATAAAGGGTTCACTTTTCAATCACCGAGCATTGGCACCATGGGGGAA